TAAGTTCGTACAGCCATATCTGATGATTTCATTTGCATTTCAGCAATATTAATTGCTTGATCAACAATCATTTGGGTATCCTTAATAATTGGTTTAATTTTCTCACCAACATTCTCCAATACTTCAATTGTTTTAATTAATTTTTCAATTTCATTCTTAATTATATCTTCAACACTTTCATTTTCTTTTAATTGATTTATTTCAAATTCATTAAATGACTTTGTATCGGTAGTTTTTGTACTATTCATGATTGGATCAGTTGCAGTAATTGGATGCTTTAAATTATAAAACATTTAACTAAATTAATTTGAAAGAAAAATAAGTAGAAATTTTTAATTATATTTGTTTGACTGTATATTTTATAAACTTACCACAATTAAAATGGAAAATAAGGATAATATACAGGATATAATAAAAATTTTTCCTAAAATTGATTCCATTTTGAAATTTATGTTTAATTAATCTTAGTTAAGTATTCCGAAGGAAAAGAACAAAATTATTAAAAATTTTCTTGACTGTAAAGATTCTTTATATAGCTATAGAGGTTTTGATTTTTTTTTTTAAACTCTCGATAATGGGTCCATGAATTTTCCACCCTTCTTATTATAATAATTTTTAAACATTTACGTGTTATTATTATAATTGAGGTTATTTTTATATTCTTTAAAAAATTATTATAAAAATTATTATGGAGAATTACGTTTTTAATGTTATATAGCATTATTTCTGATAGCAGACATGCAGAGTATATAAAATGCATGCAAATTTATTAACAATAAATACCCTTTTTAAACGACATTTGTAAGAGATATGCAGTGTTAAGATTTTAGCATTTTTAATGTCAAATTTGCCATGATGAATTTTACCTTTTTATTGAGTGTTTAAAAGATTTTTGGCATGCAAGTTGTTTTAAAAAAGCATTGAAAATCTTTGCAAAAATGTTCCTCAAAAACTTCAAAATTTTTAAAGTTTTTAAAATTTGTGCATAAAATAGTATTTTATTTTGCCTAATCTAGCACAATTTGTTCGTTTAAATATCACAACACTGAAAATATATGAAAATCTAATTATGCACACCAACTGTCGGCAAACTTTTTTGGGTTATGCGCAAATATGTACTATATGTGAGCATGAGTATGGGCAACTCGAGTTTCTTACGTTACCTACTTAGAATAAAAATGACATTTTCAACTGATTTTATTGATTCTTTTTTTGTTCTGACAAATAATAAATTTGCATGGAATTTTATGTTCCTATTATCTACAATTGAATTTTCAAATTTTTTTGATAAATTTTAATAGTCGCAATCAAATATATAGTATATGATGGGCCACATTTTGAAATTGAATGAGGTGCATGCTGTCATCCTGGGCCGCACTTTATCAACGTCTGATATAAATAATTACTAAAATCGTTCGGTTCAATTCTAATAAAATGATAATTGATAGTTGCTAGAGCATCCGCCTTAAAAACCGTAAGTGACTGGTTCGAGTCCAGTTCGAGGAAAAAAGTTTTTTTATTTTTCTGCTTTGACTCGTTCCTGTAATTACGTCATCTATTTGTTCTGCAGTTGTGTGAAGAAATTTTCATTAGTTATTCTTATAAGAATTCATAGTATAAGATAAACAACTACACGTTGTATTGGTAATTAGCAATGAGATAATTGATGGATTTTTATGGACCAAGTAAATTCTAATATATAACACAAGAGTAATATTATTTACATATTTAATTTGAATGTTCCATTTGCGGTAGTCGAATAGTATAATATAAGAACTTTCTACAATTTTACAAACTCAAATAAAATGCTAGTAATTTTGGAATATATTAGGAATACAAAACACTTCGAAATCATGAATACTTTGAGACCCATTTTTTTATTAATTTCTTTCCTATAGCAACTAAAGTCATATTGCCGTGACTGGACTGTATTAGCATTACGATGAATTTCTAATATAACAAGGTTTTTACATTGAATGTGTCATTCGATTATTCGATATATTTATTTTTGTATCTAAATGATTTTTATACTTAATGGGCTTATATTACAGTTAAATTGTCGAATGGAGAATAAATTGTTGTCAAAGTTTTTGTAAAAGGAAATTAACTTGGAAAATTTATTTGAAATTATTGCAAAACTTTATAGTAAAATTTATTAAACTTTTATTATTTGTTGAGAAAAAAATATATTTTCGAAATAAGTTTAAATAATTATTGTTATTTTTATAACAAAGCATAATATAAATAAAAAGTTTTCTTATTTGTACTTGTTATGTACTTACATAAGGTTTGTGTATGATCCAATTTTGATTTTTTCATATTTTAATACAGTCGTAATCTGTAAGGTTTGGTTTTAGGGGTATAAATTAAAGGTTGATTTAAACGTAGAAAATTCTAAACCATAAAATTTTATTTTCAATGTTTACATAAGTTTTTAATGTAGCTCGAGTTTAGAGAAAACTATTCAAGGTTGGCCCAGAACAAAATCGAGTATATAACAGTGAATATTTCTTTCTATATGTGCGAATTTCAAAAAACATTAATGAGAACCGGTAAAAGGTATTTTAAACTATACGGAAAAAATCAAATCAATTATAAATAAAATATTCATCTAAGTAAAAGCATTATTTCTCTAGACAAAGCATTATTTTTTCGTACTTACCCACCTACCCAATACATTAGAGTTTTTAAATTCTTAATAATGCAAGTTTTATGGGAATTAATAATAATTTTTATTTTACTAAAGTAAAATTTCTTTGCAACTGTTTTGTTATATAAAATTCTACAAGCCGTCATTTTCTTCAAAACTATGAGCTCTATTTTGAACCCACAATCGTGCTGTTACTCAAAAGTATAATTTATGCATCTACAAACTTAATTAAGAAGTAATCAATTCTATGCGATAATACAGAATATGACTACAAAATGTATTTATAACCCTTATCCCATAGTAATATTAAAGTTCTTTATCATAAACTTATGCAAATTTCACCGCTAATTCAATTAAGTATCAATATTGCATATCTAAGTATTTTGATTATTTTGTAGCTAAACGATAAATAAACTTCTTTTATATAAAAAAAACAATTTGGACTCTAGCAAAAATGTGAAACTCGTATATTTGTGTAAAGTTGACTTGCAATTCACAAGTGATTTGGTACTATGTAACAAAATCGCGGTGCAGAAAAAAATTAAAGTGGCTGCATTTTCTAAAAATTTTTTCAGTTTTTATTATTTCTAACAGTTATTTCAAAGTAAACATTTAAGCTATTTTAAAATGTGGAAACATTTAAATGTACATTAAGGAGGCGCTTACAGCTAATTTTTCAAAAAAAAAAAATATGGATTGTAACAGATTTTTATTAAATAGGTTAAGATTTAAATATTGCTTTTGTCCAGTAAACCATTTCACTTATTATAACCGAAATTTGTACGGCTATAGAAAAAAATATTAAGTTCTATAAAAATAAAACTGGAAAAGAGCATTGTCGACCAAAGGGAAGCAAAGCAAATCTGGCATAATGCATGAAAACTGATGGTGATGGGATAGTTTTGTATTTTATTTTGATCTATAATTATAAATTGTTGATTACAAAAATTTAGTTAAATGCACTAAATTTGAACTGCAATAAGATTCGTAAAGAAAATGGCAAGTGTACGGAAATGTATGCGAAAGGAAGCATTCTGTAGTACAACTTAGGTTACTTTCGCATACGGAAATTTTCGATATTCGATTTACATAGTGTCGAAATTTTAGATGTGGAAGTCGTTTATACGTATGCAAATCGTACTACATGGTACGCCATCAGTTCTAGACTTGAGTTGTTAAATCGAAACAGGTTATTTTACAAATCACAGAACAGAGTCTACATCTACATTAGGGGCCGGAATTATTTGCATTATTTTATCATACTTTTCTATTATCTTGCGGATCTTATTGTGGGTAATCTACTGAATATTTTCAAATAATATAGATAGAAAACGTAAGAGGGAGAAAGCTATTCGTAAATAATACTGTGATAAAAAGAAATAAAAACACATTTTTTTTTTAAACTATTTTTTATATATTTTTTTAATAATTTTATTTCGAAAGTTTCTTTTATATATGTATGCGAAACAACACAATAATAATAATATGCTTTATACAATAATAATAATAATTAATATATTTAATAATATTTTGTAACAAAAAAAAAAATATATAGAAATAAGAATCAAAAAATTAAATTGAAAAATTAAAAAAAAAATTGTATATTTTTAATAAAGCAATTATTTAAGCGCGATGATCAAAAGTTAAAAAAAAAACAAAACATTTTTTGCTTCAACCTACCAAAATATATTTTTTTTTTTTTCTGAAATTTTTTGAACCAACCTAATTTTAAGTATTTAATTGCATGTTAGTTAGTGTTTTTGTGTTTTCATAGAAACGATATTGAATTTATTTGTTTCTGTTGTTTAGTAACGATTACAACCTTCGCGGAAAAGATTCTCGTTTTTACCGTTTAAGTGTATATCGTAAAAATATGAATGTCGCGAGAGTGTTTTTAATAAATGGTTTGTGTTTTTGCTAATAATATTTTTCTTATTTAGAAAATTTATTCGATCAATCAAATTTTATCGTATTTATATTTGTTGTAAATGTACTAAAAAAAAAAATAATAATAATAATGCTAACAAGATCGTTTTTTAAACAGCCATTAAATAAATTAAAATTATTTTCTTTTTTGTTGCTAGCTTTATTATTATAACGTATAGTAAGTGTTAAACATGCGCAAATAATAATATTGTGATCGTAAAACGAAAAAAATTCCTTGGGTTTTGAAAATCTCGACGATAGAATTGAAGAACATATAGTTTTAGAATGATGTTTGTGTCTGTGTGTATGTTATGTAATATTATATGACGTATGTGTACATAAATATTAACTAAACAATTAATTTTATAAAAAAAAAAAATTAACCGAAATAATTTAAAGTTTCCTTTTCTTTTTTTTTTGTAGAAAAAAAAAAATTAAAAGAATATAAAATTTATGAAATTATTTAAAAATTTTGATAAAATAAATTCAAAGAAATCGAAATATTATAATTTATGTATGCATTTTTAGAAATATTTTTAAATCAAAATTTAACGCGCATGATTTTTGCAGAATGGGCGACCGCCTTTATTGAAGAAACTTTGTCCTTCCAAGTTCTTTTTGCACATCTAAAATTGAAAGAAAACGAAGGAAATAATATTAAAATTGATTCTATAAAATTCCGGTTAGTTTTCGCAAATTATAATTATTGTTCAACTTACTGTGCAATTGAAACATTGGCTATGATAATTATGATTTAAGGCTTCAACCCATCTATCACCAGCTTCAACTGGGAAACCGCATGCAAAACATTTTGTTGTAAATAATTCATTCCAATCGGCTTCACAGTAGGGTTCACCATCTTCTAGGAAGAATGGTGTATTACCAAATAATTTACCGCAATAGGCACAAGTGAAACATTCCGGATGGAAATGTTTACCAATTGCATTTAAGCAATCACCCTATTTACAATAATTAAAAATAAAATGTAAAATTTAATATAGAAATTTATATAAAGTAATAAAATAATTACCTTAATCTTTCCATTACACTTGCTGCAAGTTGGTGCTAAATATTTTTCAAAACAGAATTCGCAATATAAATCACCTTTTTCTTCAACAAATCCAATATCTTGAAGTGGACGGCGACAGCTTCCATTAACGCACATAAAGTGATCTGGGCACCAGATACGTCCCAAAGCAGTAATAAATGGTCCTCTGTTCGTTAAAAAAAAAGAAAAAATATTATTAAACAAATATTCTTATTTGTGATATTTTATATATTATGGTCAAAAATAATGGTGGACGCACAAAAAATTTAAATCTTCAAAATGTGTTAACAGGGATATTTAGGAACATTATAATTTCACTTACCTTTTGATTTCTTTGTTACAATCACAGCAAATAATTGGTTCCTTACCATCATATACCTTTAAACCTTTTGTGTCGATTTTGTTTTCATTACTTTCTATACTATCATTGCCACCATTCACATCAGATTTTTTACTTTTGTTGATTGCGGTGTTATCGTTATTACTTCCATTTAACTTGTTACCACTTGCACCATTCAAATCATTATCTGTTATTTTATTTGGTACGTTTTCAGGTGTTGCTATTGAATTAGATACTGAAGATGAAGGAGAACTTAGCATATTATTAACAAAATTTTCCGATTTCATACTAGATTTTAAATTTTTAAGAGAATTTTCATCATTATTTTTCTTACTACTATCTATATTTTTTTTGTTTTGTTGATGCTCATCTAATTGCTGTTGAAAAGAGCTAGCAACAGCAACAGCTTCATTAATAGCATTCATCAATTGATTATCTTTTTCGATATATGAACGTCTATCAAATGCTTGAGTACTTAAACGTCTTGAATCATTACGATTACACTTTTTATTTTCTCGATGAATTACAGCAGTAGCACTTTCAAGTGGTCTCAATATTTCTCTATTGTCATCATCATGTACTGTATCGGATTTGAGTGTATTTGGTTTCGATGTTGATGTTTCTTGTAACGCAGTATTTGTAATTTGATTACGAATATTATTTGGGGTTGGTTGGAATGATGAAGGCCCACTTTTAATATCATTATTAAATGTTTTTCTTGCTAAAAATGGTGATTTTGTTACTTTTTCGCCTAACACGCTTAAATCATCCTTTACTGTTGTTGCTTTAGACAGATCTTCCGATATTGAAATTTTATCGTTAGGTTTAGTTTGTTTATTGTATTGACCAGATTCAATTATATTCCTATTTTTAACGGGATTATTATTAATTGCATCAGAACTTCCTTTAGAATCGCAGATATCTAGAATATTTTTCATTGGATGTGAATTTAATAACTTTTTTGTATTTGAATTTTCATTATCAAACACATTGTCATTATTATTTTGTTTAGGAGATGATTTCGTTTTGATTAAAGTATTTCTGGGGGATGTTGATTCTAAATTTTTATTGTTGTTGTTTTGAGTTAATCGTGCTTCCAACATATTTGATATAATTTTTCCTGCTTCTGACATAAAATTATTTTTATCCTCAACTGAGATTTTATCTAATGAATCAGTAAGCATTTCAGTAGCTCCTATTGATGTTGAATAATTGCTCCCTTTCGGTGTATTTTCTCGTGTAATAACTGAATTGTTTAAATTTAAATCTTTATCAGGATTCATAATTGAAATTAATGATTTTTCTAGTGTCGATTCAATATTCTCTATAGAATTGCTATCATCTGACTGAGAAATTGTTTTTAATTCCTTATCTATAATCGAAGGTATAATTTCTGATGGTGGTGGCGTTGGTGGAGCTGGTAAAGTTGAAATGTCTTGAAGACCTTCAATCAAACTTTGTTCGAGAAATTCTGGTGGCGGAGGTGGCGGCAAAGGCGGAGAGTCACATGTATTAGTAACATCTTTAAAGAAAAACCGACAAAAATAAAAATCAACGCCATGCATATTATAGCAAAAACGAAAACACAAAATATATTATCGAAAGCAAACAGAAAATAAAATTAAAAAGTGCCACACAAAAAATCTTATTTAGTAATATTTGGCTTGTAAAATTGATTTCTTTTTCAATCGTCTTTCGAGAAGTTTAACTCTTTCGAAAAATTTGCACACAAAAAAAGCCTTACCTATTTTACTGATCCAGAGATAGGATATTAGTAATTAAAAAATAAAAAAAAAATCGATAAATAAAAATCTTAAATGGTCATTGGTTTAAGAAACAAAAAATTGCGTATTATATAGAAACAAAAAAGAACAACTCTGAACATTTCTTAAATTTCTTTCACCTGATGTGAGTTTGACAAGCACCACATTGTGGAATACGAGATCCTGGTCCAACAGCTTTGTTCAAAATACCCCGACCACGTTTTGGAGCAGATGTAGCACTAAATGATCCACCAGATTTTCCACCGACACCTGTATCAGCAGCAGATTTTGTATCAATATTTGTTGTTGAATTAATAGAGCTAGTAGTTTGATTAGAAGCAAAAGAAGCAGAGCTTGCAATAGCTGATTGCATTGATGTTGTATTAAATGTGCTATTTGCAGTAGCAGCAGCAGCAGTAGCAGTTTGCTTTGTCTTAAATAAGTCATCTTGAATAAGTTGCTCTGGAGTAGGTGGAAAAATAACTTGTCTAGTATCATGACTAGCAGATGATTGTTGCTTTGGTGTTGTAACACCAGATGAAGGAGTTGGTAGCGGATGTGGCAAAACCTGAATTGCACCAGGTGGTGGTGGTTTAAAACCAGCCGGACCTGTAGATGCAGTCGGTCTATACGTATTAGTGCTGCTAGTAAATTTTGAAATATTTTGTTCTTGGGTATCCCTACTTGTAGTAGTATTGGTTAGAGATGATGTGATTGTGTTAGAATTAGAAGCAATAGAAGAGGTACTTAAATTTGATGTTAGAGGTCCACCAACATAATGTTGAGGTGCTGTTGGTGTTAGGGTAGGAATATCACTCGTCATTAGTTTAGATTTTTGGCCAAATGTTAGTGAAGATGTTGTTAGTGATTGACTTCTTTTGGATATTGATGATGCAGCACATGCAGTAGATTTCGACTGTGTCGCGTCTGGGATTTGTTGGTTGAATTGGTCGTATCGGTGAACGAACCCTGGAGGCGCCCCAGCCAGTTTGTTATCAGAGGGTGAAGGAACGATATATGTTGGCATTTTAGGTTGATCGTGTGGAGGAAGAACTGGTTTAATTGGAAAAGCATTGGACGGGGTTGGAGATTTGGTCTCGGGAAATCTAGTCTCAGATCTAACCCCAAGATTAGCAGCTCGAGCGCTAATTGCTTGTGATTGCGAAGTAAGACTGGAAATTTCCTCTTCAAGACCAGATAGACGTCGTGCTTGATTTGCCACAAAACCGGTTTTGCCATATTGGTTCTTTTTTTCTCCTTGGCTTTGTGTACGTATTTCAACAGTTTTAGCAGATTGAGAGTGTTCATATTCTTCCACAACCTTCCTACGCCTTTCAATTTGCATATTACCAATTTGACTCTTAGTTTGTGTTTCCTGTTCAGACTTTTTCTCTTCTTGTAAATGGCTCTCTTTTTGTTTTGTTTGCACATGTAGGTCGCCAATTTGTCGTTCTTGTATAATTTCTGGTTTATCAATAAGAGAACGTGAACCTGAATCCATTCCCGTTTGATAATGTGATAATATTTGTTCTTGTTGTTGCTGAGCCATCTGTGTACCCAAATATGACTGACCGGTTGTTATTGAACCACCCATAGGGCTACGTGGTACCACATTCAAAGTATTTTCTTTAATACGTGGTGCATGAATTGCTATTGTTTTTAATGGGTTTGGTGGTGGACCAGGTGCTGGTGAATGTGTACGATCTGGGAATGGTGAAGCTGACCTCCGATCGTATGGTCTGGCTTCAACAGATGAACATTCTTCGAAAACTAGTTTCTCTGGTGTCTGGTAATATGGAATTATTGGCGCTGGTTTATTGGTAAACGAAGGCGTATATGCTCCAGACCTCACCGAGTGATCATCTGGAATATCATCCAATGATTGAAAAGTCATTGTTATTGGCCCAACTCGATTTTCAATAATAAGTGGCACATTAGGAGTTGTTGTACTACTAGTTGTAATATTAGTTGTTGAATTACCATTTATATTTACAGATCGACTGCTTGCTGCTTCACCTATTGCATTAGGTGTTTTTGTCGATGATGGTACATTAAGGTGATGATTACTTGAAGGCATAGAGGCGGGTGAAACACTGCGTAAAGTGCGATGCATTTGAGGTTGTTTTGGTTTGATATCTGGATTGGGAGAAGGTGAGCGGTCTGGCATTGGAACAAAAGCAAGTGGTACATTATGCTTTAAATCTTCTGGTTCAGGAGTTCTAACTGGACGTTGGGATGGTAAAACCGTCCAATTTCTTTGGTATTGCGGTATATTATCTGGTTTATGAAGCCCACTTAGAAGGGATCTTTTTGCATTTTTCGAATTTATTGGGGGAAGTGAAGCAACTTGCGCATCATGTTCTGAGACTTTTGTAGCGTCACTGACTGATTGCTTCTTTAGTTCTGTCATATTGGAACCATCTTGTGAGGATCTTCTCTCCGTAGGTATGCCAGTTTCTGTATTGGATTGGAGATGATGATGGGTTTCAGACTGATTAATGGATTGCTTACGAGTAGACTGTTCAGTCATGCTTTGTTGTAATAAAGTGTGTTGATATTTTTGTTCAAAATAAGAGGGAGGCTGTAATTCACACAATTCAGGAAATTCAAGTGAATTACGTGGTGTACCACATAAAAATTGGGATTCAAGGTTTGATTTAGTGAGTTTTGATTCTTTTTCATTCGAATCTGATTGATTTTGGAATGACTGTTTTTTTGAATCGTAATCACCTAGAGAGACAAACGCTGAAATTTTGCGATCCATACTTTCTTGACGTTTTTCGAAAACTTTTTGTTCTGTTTCAGCTTTTTGTTCTTCTAACGAGAGATGAATATACTCAGGCTTTGTTGGAGGCTGATCCAGGCCAAGCTTCAAAATATTGTCAGTTGAAAGAGGAGAGTAAGCTCGTTCTGGGGCCGTGATCAAGGCATCAGAAAGAGTTAGTTTTTCGCTGACTGTTGGCATATCTAAAAGTTGAGAACATACATCACTTTCAAAACGTTTATAGGGTTCATCTGGAGCTGTTATTAAAGCAGAAAGCATTGGAGATTTTGGTCTAAAATCTTCTTTTGTGTAGGGCGTCATATCAATAGGCGGCGGCATATAGGGTTTTGTCTCTTCTGGTAGAGGAATATATTCACCAGCAGCAGGTGCAAATTGAAATTTATATTCAGGTACGCTAGTTAATGTTTTTGATATTTTCGATCCTTTTGGTGGTTCTTCTTTTAAGATACTTTGTTGAATAGTTTCATTTTGTGATTGATTTTTTTTACAGCATATATTTCCTTTTGACATGGGGCAAGTTGTGCACGGAGCTTCTGCCGCTCGTTCGGAGCACGTACCTGAGCACACATTTTGACAGCTTTCTATACACGTTAATTTGCTTGTATCACCTGGAATTTTACTTGAAGATTTACACTCAACGGTACTGCAATAGTATTCGGCGGGTTGTGTTGAAGATGTAGTTTGCTCTGTCTCTGCAGTTAAATCAGCTGCTGATTGCTCCTCCTGAATGTCTGAGAGATATTCGTCGAGGCCAGGATGTAATTCTATAGGCTTATCTGGAGCAATTGTAAGCGCTTTCACCATTGGATTTATCCATTCTTTCGGCACTGGATTAGGAATATTTGATGGAGGAAGTATTAGCGGCGGGGGAAATATAACCTTTATTTCCGGTGTTGGAGGAAACAGTCTTTCAGTAGATTCTTCAATGGGTGTAATTATAATTCTTCTGCCTGTATCTTCAGAAGAACCCACTGAGGATACCTTCTGAGGGACAATTATTTCCTCAACAACGGATTGTCGACGTTCTTCTTCACCTGGTTTTGATTGTTCTTTCTCTTCTGTAACGTTCTTTTCAGTTGTTTGTTGAGCAGTTTCATTTACAGTCAAGGTTTCTTCTTTTTTGGATTTTTGTTCTAAAGTTTCTTCGCTATCTAGGAACTCAACACGCCTTGGTTTGTTCATTGGAGTCGGACTAGGTGTTACTTCCCTTACCATGTCAATTAATTTGTACATACTAAGAGTACTTTGCAAATTATCTGCACATTCTTGAACACTTCTTCTTCCGCTTTGAATGCTATGAATATCAGAAGACATAGAATAACAATGATCTTGCTCTTGTCGAACATTATGTTGATCTATTTCCATGTGATAATCATATTCAGATCCAGATTGATCATACATTTGTTGCATTTGATAGGCTTGCAGTTGCGCTTGATACATTCTATTATATTCTTCTGATGTTGTAGTTGTTGTTGTAGATGTCGATGTATAGCTATCTGAACCACTTTCAACTTCAACATGGTAATGTGAATTGAGTTGAGGAGCTGATCTAACTTGCCATTGTTGTTGCTCTTGCTGTTGCTGTTGTCGGCTTTCTTGTTGAGATAATTGTTGTTGTTCGTAATATTCTTGCGTCTTTTGTTGTGTTTGTACCGTTTTCTGTTGTTGTTCTTGTCGCTGGACTTGTCTATGTTCTTCTTTTACGATTTGTTGTCTTTGTATTTCTTCTTCTTGTTTTCTCATCACGTCTTCTTGATGTTCTTTTACAAGTACGTGTTGTGTTCCCGGTGGTGGTATGTATATCGGAGTTGCAGTTGGTGCCATATCCTGTGTTTCACTTTCTTTCGGTGGCCACGTGAAAGGACGTGTACTTACTGGAGGTTGATTTAAAGTTTCAACTTCTAAGTCTTCGAAGTGATCTGGATGTTTTACTTTCGGTTGAGGTTCTTCCTGGATCTGAATTTCATTTTGCGTTTGTCCCTCTTTTTTTTTATTTATTAATTCAATCAATTAAGGATTAGGGTAAATTTTGTAATTTTTTTTAATATTTATTAAATGAGTGCCGATTTTCAAGAATATGTTTTAAAAGGGATATTTTTTTATGGGATAATTTGGCAGTTGTGTTTTCGTTTTGTATTTGTATTGGTGTTAAGTTTAAGTTTAATTTTATAATAATTTCAAATTTTGTTTCATTGTTTGTACAATATTAATCACACATTTCAGCGTATCGTAAATAAAACAAAACAAATTCAAATAAACAAGATGGCAGATGATGATGAAATGTTTGAAATGTAAGAAGTTAATTCAAAATGGTCGCCAATTTTTTTTTTTTTTTTGTTTTTTGAACAACACATAATTTTATATATGTATACATGTATATATATACATTTTTATTTTTTGTATTGATGAAAACGATTAATGAATGTAGAAAGCAGACGATTATAGAATTTAATGTGAAAAAAAAAAAATTTAATTAAAAAAAAAAGAAAATAAAAAAAATTAAATTAGTACCGTTATTGTTAATAAAAGCCTTCTTTCTTTACTTTGCAATTCAATTTAATATGAACATACACGTAAATACTTTATATATATACATATAAATTTAGATAAATACATACACAATGAAAACACACACATATATACAATAAAATAAAAATTGTTTTCAATTGAAAAAAAAACGACTACATTTTTAATCTAATATCAAAACAACGTGGTATTCGAAATATATTGGAAGAATCAATATCAAGCATCATCAGTTAGCAGGCATCTATCTATATTTAAAGACAAGTTTTTTGGAATTTACAAATTTACAATTTTAAAGGTTGAAAGCATAATTATAAATTTAGCGATTTTGTACAATAAAAGCAGAAATATTAAGAATTCATAAATATAAAAATAAATTTCCTAGAACTTATACTATAAGTATTTCGTTGTACTTTCAAATCTGTATAACAGTGTCATATGGAAGTATATGAACCAAGTATGAGAGTTATATTGTAATAATATCGTATATAAGCGTGTATGTGTTTAATAATAAATCAATATTCTTTTGGAATAAATTAACACGTCCTTAAAAAGAGAAAAATTTAGTAAAAAAAGAAAGAAAAAAATCGCAGCAGGATCTCATGAATTAGATGAACTATTTATTTTTAGTAATAAATTTCTTCCATTTCATTACACGTTTCATGAGCATATACATATAATTTATATGTACAATAACATGCAACATTTTCCATTATAATATTTATATTATACTGATTACTTTCTATAGTAAATGAATAGAAGAGATTGTATAAGAATTTTTTCATATTAATTTTCCAATACCATATAAGATATTATTTATCATAGCTATACGAAGAAATTGTCATTGTGATAATTTATTATTTTCACATGAACAAGTAAATTACAACAAATTTTGCATAATTTTTTTTTCATAAGTAATTTTATCTATATTATTTTTCTTATATTCTATTTTAAAAAATAAATCTGTTTTAACAATAGTGTTTACTTACTCAATTTTTTTTTAAAAAATTCAAATTTCAATTCTTTTTAAAAGGTTGTTATCGTAAACTACACAAGAAATACAGAGAAAAAAAAACACAAGCGTTTAAATTTTATAGAAGATGAGAGTGTAGTAAGTTGTTAAAGAACTTGTTAAAATAAAATCTTGTGTATAGAAGATATTGAAGAAATTTATAATGGAACAAATGCGATAAAGGCAAAATAAGGATTGAATAATAAGTAGAAAAAAAAATTTAATTTAATAAATTTTTCAATACTGTAGATCAATTACAATGTTAATGGTATTCTCAAATTTTTAATTTAAACTAAATAGATTTTTAATAGAGCATTCAATTTAATCTGAAATAATATCGCATGTTTAAGAGAAAGAAACTTTAGTATTGTAAAAATATTATTAATTACAAGGAAAGGTTTTTATTATTGTCAATTTTTCGTATCAATTATTTCTTCGTGAACAATCTGGTATTCATTCACAAAAATACTTAAAAAATATCCTTACAATATTCTTACATACGTAATATACCACAATAGTCTCTTTGAATACAAAAAATCCAGCAACATTAAAACGTATATTAAGAATCGCAATTGAAGATATGAGTGAATGAAGGTGTCAACTACAGTTTTTGAATTTTCGAATAAATTAACCTTATTTCAAGGCGAAATAATTTAAAAGTGTTACATAACATCTTTTAAAAACAAGCTGTATCTTAAACTGAGTCGTTTTTTTTTTGAAAAACGGGGTTTTGTATATGAACAATAAATATAAAAAACTTTAACTTATGCAATTACTTAATTTTCATAAAAATTGTAGATGACTCATTCTTATTCAATAGTGTCTTCAATTCATATTTTGACTAACTAATTAACTGAGCAAATATTGAGAAATATTTTATAAATTCTCCGATAATGATATTGAGCAAATTTTTTTTCAAAAATAAATCTAAAGGACATTCAATTCCTTTCACAGAAATTACAATTTAGCATAAAAAACTTCTACAAAACTTTTATAATATTTAAAAAGTTTTAGTTCTGATTCAAAGAAAAAAGAACGTAAAGGCTTTTTATAAATAACTAAAATGAGATCATAGTGAAATTTTTATTGTAAAAAAAAAAAAAAATTCATTTTGATTTTTCCTTACTTTTCTAAAATTTTTAAAAAATTTCAAAACAGAAATATTTTATTTCATTTTTATTATTCTTTTCGTTTCTTTGCATTATGAGTTGCTTACATACTGCCTGTACATACTTATATATTTCTAGTTTATCCTTCTGTTATCCTGTAATATTTTCTTCTTTGTCATGAAATTTTTTCTGATATCATTTTTCTTTTTTGTCTAAATTTTTTATTTACCTCGAATATATTTCATTATTCTTTCATGTTTTATAAATGGATAATTTCCTTCCTGGCAAATATACATACAACATACGTACGTATAACGTATATAGCCAAAAGTGATTTTTCCTCAATTCAATTTATGCGAAGATTACATTTGCATAATACAAACAGAATATTTTGCATGAATTTCGTTTCAAAAAAAAAAAAATTACAAAAACAAAAAAATTAAATTCAATTTTTAAAAAAGTCACATAAAAAATTAATAAGTTAAAAAAGGTAGAAAGATAAAAATCAAAAAATATAAGTGAATTGAAGGCATCCTAAATGTATGCAATTTTTTTTTATTCTTTGAATTTTATTATAAAAAATTTTCTAATCTTTAGAAGAACATGAATTGTAAGAATTTTGTGTCAAGTTTTATTCTTAAAATATTAAATTATTAAAATATTTTTTTATTATTAAAATTTAAATATTAAAATATTAAAATGTCGTATAGCTATATATGCCGTAAATATTTTTGAATATTTGTAAAAAAATTTGCAAAATAATTTGATCACTATGAACTGAATGAACAAATGTTTCATGTTAATTCAGAAGGCTAGGACTACTTAATTCAGAAGACGTTTTGAAGCTTTAGTTCATACAGAAGTATATTCGAAAATATTAGGGCTTACCTTTTAAGTATTCAATAGTAAACTTGTATTTTTACAATTCCATTATTTATGATATTATAATTTTGTGTGAATCTTAAAACCAAAATAATTTTAAGGTAAGAAAAGTGATAAGGTAATAATTTATTAATGAGAACAGCCAAAAAAAACACTAAGTTATAAAATTCTAAATAAAATAGAATTATTTTTTCTAATTCAGAAAATCTGCTTGTAAATTATTTCAACAAAATATCCATCGTGTAAAGGGAATAAAAAGAATAGCGAAAATATTTATGTTAAGAGTTGCAATTAAAGTACTGAAAAGCAAATTGAAGACTTAAAGTTAAAAGAAAAATAAAGAATATTTTAAAAATCGAAAACAAAATGTTGGAATGCAGATACTATGTTTAAAAAATACTCAACATATAAATAATACGAGTGGCATATATACGCAATAATACATGAAAATACAGTGCTGAGCGAGAGCTATATTAAAAAATTATTAGACTATTCTTAAAATCACAATATAAGACATTAAAAGAATAAATGTTAAATAAATGTATGAGAGAGTGGGCATTTTTTTCAGAAAAATTTAGGAGTTTTTGATTGGATTCGAATTTTAAATGGATGAATAATGTGTTATTCCTTCAATTTATTGAATTGAAATTTGGATATTAATTACTTTTGTTCTAAGAAATTTTTTGAAATTTTTATAAATAATAACAAAATTAAATAATTTTTAACAATTATAATGAAGGAAAGAAAACATTTTAAAATCTATTCTGGCATAAAGCTTTAAAAAGCTTTCTCACTTTTATCCACTGGATGTGAATTAGATGTAACTATTGTAGAGCATGGAAAAGTGTTCACAAGAGTAGAAAAACTAAAGACTTAATTTCTACTTGAATTAAAATCCGTTTGCGAAACAAGGTCCTTTACCAAATATCCTTTATTTTGCTCCCAAATATTGCATACTTATATGAAAAGAATTCGTCCTTAGTTTCTATTTTAAACTAAAAATTTAATAAAGTTCAGTAGGTATAGACAAAAATGAGTCAACTAAAATAGACCAATATTTATATAGAGTTCATATTACAAAGGTATATAAAATTAATCCTAAAGGATGAAAAAATAGGGACGCTTAGAAAAGAATTGCGGATAAAATTTAAACACGAAAAAAAAAATCAAAAAAAAAAAAGCAAGAAAATATGACAATCTACTGATGTTTATATACATACGTTTGTGTGTATATAAACATCACAAAGATTTTTCTTTTCAGTAAAAATATAAAAAAAAATGAGTTAAAAGAGAAAAATTGCAATAATTTTATCCAATTTTCAATATATTTTCCGGCATAATCATATAAACAATTTTTCGAAGAGAAAAAAATATTTTATACGTATAATAAAATTCCACTTCTATTGAAATAAATTTATGTAGAAAAAAAATAATATTGTTAAACCCCGCGATCATG